TATATATATATGTACATATATATATATATATATATATATATATTATATATATATATATATATATATATATATTATACATATAATGTGTGTATGTATGCATACACAAGGAGAAGTGAAAATTCTCTTAGGAAGAAGCACTGTCAGGGAGAGTTAATCATTGTTAAGCTCAAAAAACGTAAGCAATTTTTCTTTATCGCAACAGTAGTCTACCCAATGCAACGATTTCGTATTCAAGTACTGAAGTATCTTTAAAGTACTATGTTATTGACAGTTTCCTCGCGTACCTAACCTTTCTCCCTGTGCGAGTGCCGACCCACTGAATATTCACTATACGGACATACGTATATATCGAAATAAATGGATATGTCTAAACATGCATATCTACCGTACAGATAGATGGCTAAATGTTTTTTTTTTTTTCTATCAGATAGATGGAGAGATAGGTATTTAATTTTCTGAATATGCATGTCCGTATATAGGAATATTTATCGGGTCAGGCCTCCCACAGTTTTTACAAGCTGGTTGTATATATCGAGTTTTATGAATTACATAATATGGGATAACTGACCTAAAGAGTTCAAGATTTCTTGTTTATATGGATATTTATTTTTGCTTAGTCTGTCTTACCTACAAAGTAAACAATGATAAATACTGCTTGATCGTTTTACCAACGTAATTTCTGTGCTATGTCTCAGTATCATTTAATTTCTTATATTCCATTCTTTTGTGACGTGCAGGTTGATTACAGACTATGAATACCTGGTGGACAGATGGATTATATATAAACCAGTCAGTTAGCTTCGGTTACAGAGCAGACGGTGACCATAGCAGTTACTATATTCCACCTATTCCCAGGAAGGTAAAAATATTAGCTTTAATTAGCAGTCCTTTTTGAGAAAATTAATGATATGGTGTAGAAGGCACTTGAAAAAAATGGGTGAATAGAGTGGTAGGTTGCTATGGCGTCCAAAAAATCTATGAATAAAACCACAATTCTTTATTTGTGGCGAGAAATCTGTTTATGCTTGTGATCTTCCCTTCGTCCCACAACAAACACATATATACATACCCTGTGTGCATGTATGTATATATGTATACATGTTAACATGTGTTTTCATATATCTACCTCTTATCTATTTACCTCTTCACCTGCCCATCTATCTATCTACATAAACATTTCATGAAACATTATCCTTACCCACTCTAACATAGTACATAATAATCATATGCCCCTCTTCCGTTGTATTAACAAAGTATCATGTCATCAGTCTATAACATATACCCAGGCTTGGACTCCTGAGTCTATCATATGAATTAATCGATCTTGTACCTAGAGCAGGAGACTTCTACTATGAGTGGTATCAGTAACAACTGGTTATAAGGGACACCTGTTTGGCACCGTGCGAAGGTCGAGCTCGTTGGTGCTATGTAATACTAGGACACCCTGGGTTCTCGGCGTCTGGCAAGGTCGTTCACATACGATACCGGTGAAGGTGCTATGAGGTTTTAGTATAATCAGTGTTATGGGAATTAATTTTTTAATTGATTTTTACGCACACATACACACACGTCTCTCTCTCTCTCTCTCTCCTCTCTCTCTCTCTCTCTCTCTCTCTCTCTCTATATATATATATATATATATATATATATATATATATATATATATTATTTATATATATGGATAAATACATGGTGTGTGTAATATATGTGTATATGTGTACCAGACTGGAAATGCGTGGCAAAATATTTCAAAAATCGTAACTTGCGTAGTTAAATTTTCAGTTTGTCCAAAAAAGCACGATTTGTGGTTGCACGACTGTTCGATGGATGGTGCATTTTATATATACTGCGTTTATACGTTATCAGAATGGGTTGTGATTCTCTCTCTCTCTCTCTCTCTCTCAACCTGGCATAGGTCAGTTTGTTATTTTTTTTTTTTAGGTCAGCAAACATTGACTGATTTGGGCCGATCCACATTTCGCGGTAAACAAGCACTCTGACAAATAAGAAAGGGAGAACTGCGCGTGGAAAAAAAAAAAAAAAAAAAAAAAAAAAAAAAAAAAAAAAAAAAAAAAATATATATAATATATATATATAATATATATATATATATATATATGTATGTATGTATGTATATATAATGTATATATTATATATATATATTAATATATATATATATTATATATTTATGTGTGTGTGTGTGTGTGTGTGTTGGATTGTCTGTGTGTATATATACATATGCATTTATATGTACGCTATATATATTTATTTATATTACAGCCGTACACACACGCACACACAAACACAATATTCAAACACGCACACATACACACAGACACCTGCATGCGTGTATAAACGTACTGGCATGCTACTCGCCTCAACCCGGGTTTCTCTGTCACACCCAAGTGTCAGTTTTCAGTCTTCTCTCTCCTTGGTCCCTCTGTGCTGTATCGCGTGTCAGAAGCCGATACAGTGAATTTTCACAGCTATCAAAAGTATCGCAGTTCCTTTCACTTTTACTGTATGGTTTTCTTTGAATTTGTGGATATTTCTTTTTTTCATGTATTGCTCAATTTTTGTTGTTGTTGTTGTTCGTATGTATGTATGTATGTTGAGATGGACGGTATTCTTTATCTTCATTTCCATTTACATATTAACTATCATTGTTATTGATATCCTCATCATCACCACCACTAGCATTATTATTGCGATTACTATTGTTATTATTATTATTCCTATGGTTGCTATTGTTGTTGTGTTTTCATCATTTTTATCATTATAATCATATCTTCATCATTCTATCATTATCATTGTCATTCTTTTCATAGAATGACAAAGGACTTGAAACATTTTGTCTTACAAACTATTTGTACAAGGAGAGAGAGACCATCGTTTTAAGATAAAAGAAACACGTGAAATATATGAAAAAATTATAATACAGTGCCATTATAGATAGAATGAATGTATGATTTATATTACGTTATGAAGGACTTTCTGTTACCCTTAGAATCAGTGGTCGTCACGGAATGATTACCGAAATTGGACGTTGAAGAACTTATTTTATGTCATGTGTAGATGTCGAAATGTTCTCCTCACAGACTCGTACGCACGCACATTCACAGAGATGCACATGCAGTATCTGACCACACATGCACATTACAGGCACACATGCACATACAGACACAACATGCACATACACACACCCACACACACTGACATGCAGACACTCAAACCACCCCAGACACCAACGCACGCAGAACACATACACACGCACACGCACATACACACACACGTACATACACACACACACACCACACATACATACACATATTCATACAACGACGCACTCTCAAACACATATGTATGTGTATCTATATATCATTAATTCACACACACATACATATATATGTGTGAATAATAATATAAAAGATATGCATTCATACATACATACATACATATATATATATATATATAATATATATATATTATATATATATTTTATTATATATATATATATATATAATGCATGATATTACTAGGATCATGTTCCAGACAATCACTGAAGCGACATTCTATGCCTCCCAACACCCTAGCCTTTCTCCGCGCCAGTACCTGTCCAACACCTAATCCAGTTCCGAGCTCTTCGTCCGCCTCGTCTTCCGGAACTATATATAGACACTATGGAAAAGAAGTCACTCACAAGACCGCACCTCCACACCTCTGCAGTCATGAAGAGCGTTCTCATTGGTGAGTTGTGTGTAGGATTGTAGTCTCATCTCTCTCTCCTCTCCTTCTCTCTCTCTCTCTCTCTCTCTCTCTCTCTCTCTCTCTTCTCTTCTCCTCTTTCTTTCTCTCTCTCTCTGTCTTTTTTTTTTTTTTTTATATACCGATTTGAAACTGTGTATATCGGGATATCTGAACAGTGGTACCTATGGATATAGATATTTATTAAGTGTTTTAACTATGCATACTCTCCGAATTGAGTATTTAATATCAGTATATTTTCTTGTTTCAGTTGCGCTGGTAGCGTTAGCGGCTGCAACAAACTCCCACAACAAAGGCCGTTTGATAGCACCGTCAGGCTCGCTGATCCCGGATATTTCCGCCAGGGATTCGCCGAGATTCCTTCCGTGATGGCGAAGGTCGATTCCAGAGTAAATTCCTTCAGGTCTGAGAATTATGAGACGAGAAGCCGAATTCGGATCGAGTAATTTTGGACGTTCCGAACTCTTCGATGAGGACAGCCAATTCCAAAAGGTAACTGACAGTGCTCGCCGACAGTTCCAGGATGAATCACTGCAGCAAAACCAGAAGAATTCCTTTATTTCATCTACCCGCAGTGAGCAGGATTATGAACCCCAGAGTCAAACAGCTAAAATAACTTCCGGAACCAAGTCGTGTTAACTAGAGGACAGACTTTTGGAAATCGATTGAATCTGCAAGGCAACAAACTAGTTCCCTCGAGAATATTAATGCCAACCAAAGAAACTCTGGAGCAATTTCACCTGTAAGCAATAACTTCCAGAACTTCGATAATGTATACAACTCAAACAACCGTCAAGGTTCATTTAGCCGTTTCAACCAACAGAATTCCAACAGTCAAGATAATCTGAACAAGGTTTCCAACCCAGCTTTGATCAAGAAGTTCTAACTACCAATCCCAG